GGTTAATGTTCACCTTTCAAGGGATAGATATATACAGGGTGCGATAGGTAAATTGTCGTCTAAATTACGCAAACATGGAAATAACACTGACACCTCCTTTTAACGGATATATTTACACAAAAATATCTTTAAATACTAAAGAGTAAATTTATTCAATAAAATCGTCGTTGGTTTCAAGGGGTTGCAGTGTGAGGAGTTAGGTGACCAGGGGTAAGAGAAAATGTGGTCGCAGAAATTGTCTGACAGCCATGACTGGGTTCTCCTGCTTGTGTGGCATGGTGCAGAGTCCTGTTGTCAGACATAAGGTCTTCCAACAGCCACCCTCTTGATCCAAGTCAGCACTTGATGCAGGCTGCCGTGTTGAGGTCTGGGGCCCTTACCGACATATTCGGTAGTTCTTTTCTTATCAGAATGACCAGAGTGAGCTTTCCGAGATGTTGTACCTTCGTAATCACCATTAGACTCATTCAACTCTTTTCGAATCTTCTGCACTGTCCTCAGATTGTCAACCAAACACCCTGAAATATTCGTATTGGAGTTTCCGGCGCAAATATCAAGCAATACAGCATGCCGTTTTCTGGCAGCGTGAATTGCGTCATGGTCTTCTTTTTCTCACAGACGGTGCCCAACTGACCCTACTATACTGTGCGGTCGACAAAATCAAAAACAAACAAGGCGCATGCGCGAAATTAAAATATAAAATGGCGACAATTTACACAACGCCCCCAGTATATATATATATATATATATATATATATATATATATATATATACGACCGGGACTTTTTTTTTTATTTGTTTTATTTTTTCACACTAAAGACAAACAGCATCTCTGATAGGTCTTTTCGTTTAGTCTTTTCTTCCAATCAAAATGGTCCATTACTTATTTGAGGCAATGGCAAGACGTGAAATTTTTCACAAGACTTGTTTTTATATCTTTGCTGCGAAAAACACGTATATACAGCCAGGTTGAGCACTTTAACGTGGAGTAATGATAAGTAAGCGTGTTTCGCTAAGTCAGTTACGACTGAATAGTGAGTTCGATACTCGCTAGGTGGTCCATACTTTCGGCCTTGTGTCACATCTAAGCTAACTTTAGAAAACCACTATATATATATATATATATATATATATATATATATATATATATATATATATATTTATGCAGCCAGTGGCTGTTTGTACTAAAATAAGAGGCCTCTGTGCTAATAAAATTTGCGGGCCCATTCATTACGCTACCTCAATACGCTGCATACCGCGTGTAACAGCAAAATTGTCCAAATCGTGTAACAGCAAAATTGTTCTAATCGTGTAACAGCAAAATTGTCCAATTGTTAGGTTAGTCTTTGAATCGTTGTATCTTAGAAATGATTAAAGATATCTTACTGGAATTCTCCGAGGTTTTTATATCTCTATTGGACTCTGCTTTGAACAATAAGAGCTCTAAGTTGATATGATGATCTCTCTTGCTGCTATGACCTCCTGATTCAGTTTTCCTCTCTACCGTTGGCTCTTTTTAAAGCTTATTCGCCATTCTCTTGAATGGACTTTGAAGATGAAACCCAAAGTATGAATTTTGGTACCATTCCTGAAGACCTGAATGATCTTTTCCATCTCACTATTGCCCAGTTGGGAAGATAGAGTGAGGCTGACAGAAAACGATTTTAACCAGTTCTCTTTCTAGTTGAATAACTCAAAGGGGTTTTCAGTGATTCGTATGACAAATGGTGTCAAGATGGCTAAAAGTCTTATCTGAAAATCGGGTAAAAAAGAAACTCAATTAGTTTATTTAGATATTAAACATTTTGTGGGATGGACAATTCTCGCATGCTGTTATATAATCTGAACAATTTTGCTGTTCGTATATGCATGTAAAATATTCATATAAAATAATATATATATATATATATTATAGAGGTCCCATTTATTTTAAAAATACCAACCCCAACAGGATGGGAAAATTGTTTCATGTTATTTCAAAGTAACCCTATTAAATATGAAAATAATAATAATAATAATAAAAAAAACTCCTCTATTCTTTTATCTTTCAATTTTTAAAATTTTATCAGGGGCCAAAGACTAGAGGGCGCTTCTAATCTTGGGGTTCCCTGGGCTGCAGCCCATACTAGGCTATATGTAAATCCGGCACTGAATACAGCTTCGACGTAACCCAGAGTAAGGCTAGTGTGCAGGGGACAGACAAGCTATTCCTGGGCATAGAATGTGTGTTTATTTACTAATTAACGGTGGAAGAGGCTGACTTATGTTAGAAACATAAATATATATATTATTTATATATTTAACTTCAAAAATAATGTGTGGCAGTGAATGTTGGACAATCTCCTCACAGATGAAGAAAGGACTTGAAGCAACAAAAATCTGGTTCTACAGAAGGATGCTGAGAATACCATCGACTGAATATGTGAGCAACGAAGAAGTTCTAGAGACAATGGTAACAAAAGAGACACTTATGCATAGATTCTGGACAATATCCTCACAGATGAAGAAGGGACTTGAAGCAACAAAAATCTGGTTCTACAGAAGGATGCTGAGAATACCATCGACTGAATAAAAATAGCAACAAAAGAAGTTCTAGAGACAATGGTAACAAAAGAGACATTTATCACATAGATTCTGGACAATATCCTCACAGATGAAGAAGGGACTTGAAGCAACAAAAATCTGGTTCTACAGAAGGATGCTGAGAATACCATCGACTGAATATGTGAGCAACGACGAAGTTCTAGAGACATTGGTAACAAAACGGGAACTCTTGCTTAACATCAGGAAGAGACAGTTGAACATTTTGAGCTACATAATGAGGAAAGAGGGCATGGAAATTTTGATCCTCACAGGATACATTCAAGGCAAGAGGGATAGAGGAAAACAACGGATAACCTACATGGCGAGATTGAGCGGATGGATAGCGTACCAGGGTTTGGGAGAGATAACAAAAGTTATTAAGAGCCACAAAGGACAGGAAAATGAGGAGAGCCAAGATCGCCGACGTCCTGAAGGAGCCCAGCACATAGAAGGTACCCAGGGAAATTAATTAAGTGTTGAGGAGATAAAATAATAAAAGACGGCTTAAAGATAACAATATAGAACATATAAAATGATTTGGGGGAGGCTCTTGGAAGATTTGAACCAGAAATTAAGCTATACATTAAGATTTAGTAATGCTGAACAAATCTCCTCACAGATGAAGAAGAGACTTGAAGCAACAGGAATGTGGTTCTACAGAAGGATACTGAGAATACCATGGACCAAACATAGGAGCAACGACGAAGTTCTTGAGACATTGGTAACAAAAGATGAAATTTCTGGAGAGTATAATGAGGAAAGACGGCTTTGTTTCAAGGTAAGAGGGCAAGAGGAAAGCAACACACAACCTACTCGGTGAGCTTGAGTAGATGGATGGAGGGGCAGGGTTTGGGAGAGATGGCAAAAAGATAAAAGTTATTAAGAGTTTCAAAGGACAGGTAATTGTGGAGAGCCATGATCACCAACGTCCTGAAGAGACACGACACATAGAACAAATATGTCATGAGTCTTGTTGTCACTTGATCTCTTCAAGTCGCTACGTGAGAAGACTACAATCAATAATAATAATAATAATAATAATAATAATGGCGGTGTAGGTAGAACTGGTAACACTTGACCTCCTACAATACCCACAAGAGAAGACTGCAATCAACATTAATAATAATAATAATAAATTACCCGCCACCTCACAATCGCCATTTTGAGCGCCCGACACTTCCTTTCTTCTGCGATCAAGATAAAAAAAAAAAAAATGAGCGGAAAAAAAAAAAAAAAAAAAAGAAAGGGAAAAAAAAAGAAAGGGGGGAAAAAAGAAAGAAACGATTGGTTATTTTCCCTTCTGTGCAAAGAGGCCGACATGAGATGCGAGACTTCACCCCACTTCGCTCTCCACAGCGCTTCAAGCCACCGTCCAACCCAACCCTCCTTTCGCGCTTTCCTCCATCGTGTCCCCTCTGTCCATGAGTCATCGGCTCTCCAATTGTTGGCTTTTAGTATTTACCATCGCCCTATTCACGCAGACTATTGATTGCTAGACAAATGGTACTACAGCTAATAACTCGACCATTACTACACTAGTAATTCTTTTTTATTCACACTATAAAAACAACAAATATTTCGTTTAATGTCGTCACTCTTAGTAATGCAACTACTACTGTCATTATTTTTTAATACCCTACGCCCTCATGACGTAAGCGATAATGCCTCTCCACAGTTTCTTTTTCTTCACTTTCTTTTTGGGTAACATAGTGGGGTGGTTGCCATCTTCACTTTTTTAATAAGTGTTCACCCAAGCTCAAGAGTCACTCAAGGTAGAGTGTTACTGATTAAGGTTGTTGTATACAGACGTAAGAAAAGGAACTAGGAGCAGATTGTGAGCATATGTAAAATAAATGACGATAGACTTGAAGAGCTTAAGATTTTAGTGATCGGGGAAGCATACTCTCGGGAGTCCATCCCATAAAGTAGTGGTTCTCGGAAAGAAGCTATCTGGGTGAAACTTCCTCCTTACCAATGGAATACGAAGGGAATGAAAATGATTCGACTCTGTTTACCTGACAGGGTGGATCATATCTGGGAAGGTCTGAAGAAGTGGAACTATCACAGTCTGTTCATATCTATCTATCTATCTATCTATCTATCTATCTATCTATCTATCTATCTATCACAGTCTATTCATATTTATCTATCTATGACAGTTTGTACATCTCTATTTATATATCTATCTATGACAGTCTGTTCATATCTATCTATATAACTATCTATGGCAGTCTGTTCATATCTATCTATCTATCTATCTATCTATCTATCTATCTATCTATCTATCTATTTCACATCTCTTTATCTATTTGATCTATCTATATATTATCTATCTATCCATCTAAATCTATCTATCTATCTATCACAGAACTATTCATATTTATCTATTCAGTCTTTTTCTATCATATATTCAATCTATGTATCTTTCTATCTATCTATCTATCTCTATCTCAGTCTGTTTTATCTCCTATTCATATCATCTATCTATCTATCTATCTATCTATCTATCTATTTATTATCTATCTCAGTCTTTTTTATCTCTATTCATATCTATCTATCCTGTTTATATCTATCTATCTATCTATCATCTATCTTCTCATCTATTTTTTTTACCTATTCATATCTATCTAAACTCTGTTTATATCTATCTATCTATCATCTATCTATCTATTCATCTATCTTTTATCTATCTATTCATATTTCTTATTTATATCCAGCATCTATTTATCTATATCTATTGATCTAAAAAATTTATCTCATCTATCTATCTATATTATATCTATCTATCTATCTATCTATCTTCTATCTATCTATCTATTCATATCTCATATCTATCTATCTATATTATATTTTATTTCTATCTATATCTATCTATCTATCTATCTATTTTTATCTATCTATTCATATCTATCTAAGCTATTTATATGTATCTATCTATCTGTTTTTATCTATCTATTCATATCTATCTCAGTCTGTTTATTTATTCATATCTATCTATCTATCTATCTATCTATCTATCTATTTCTTTCTATCTATCTCAGTCTATTTTTATCTACCTATTCATATCTATCTAAGCTCTTTTATCTATCTATCTATCTATCTATCTATCTATTCATATATCTATCTATCTCATATCTATTTTTATCTATCTATTCATCTCTATCTAAGTCTATTTTTATTATATTCATATCTATCTATGCCTGTTTCTATCTATCTATCTATCTATCTATCTATCTATCTATCTATCTCAGTCTATTTTTATCTACCTATTCATATCTATCTAAGCCTGTTTATATCTATCTATCTATCTATCTATCTATCTATCTATCTATCTATCTATCTATCTCAGTCTGTTTTTATCTACCTATTCATATCTATCTAAGCCTGTATCTATCTATCTATCTCAGTCTATTTTTATCTACCTATTCATATCTATCTAAGCCTGTTTCTATCTATCTATCTATCTATCTATCTATCTATCTATCTATCTATCTCAGTCTATTTTTATCTACCTATTCATATCTATCTATCTGTTTACATCTATCTATTTCATCTATCTATCTATCTATCTATCTATCTATCTCAGTCTTTTTTATCTATTCATATTATCTAAGCCTATTCATCTATCTATCTATCTATCTATCTATCTATCTATCTATCTATCTATCTATCTATCTATCTATATATTCATCTATCTATCTATTATCTTCTATCTATCATTCTTCATTTTTATCAATCTATTCATTTTTATCTATCTATTATTCTCTTTATATATCTATTATATATCTATCTATCTATCTATCTATCTATCTATCTATCTATCTATCTCAGTCTATTTTATCTACCTATTCATATTCATCTATCTAATCCTATCATATCTATCTTCATCTATCTATCTATCTATCTATCTATCTATCTATCTATCTCTATCTATCTATCTATTATCTATCTATTCATCTATCTATCTATCTAGTCTATTTTTATCTATCTATTCATATATCTAATCTATCTATCTATCTATCTATCTATCTATCTATCTATCTATCTATTCATCTATCTCAGTCTGTTTATCTATCTATCTATCTATCTATCTATCTATCATATCTATCTATCTATCTATCTTCATCTATCTATCTCATCTATCTATCTATCTATCTATCTATCTATATTTCTATCTATCTATATCTATCTATCTATCTATCTATCTCATCTATCTTTATCTATCTATTCATATCTATCTATCATTTGTTTATATCTCCATCTATCTATCCATCTATCTATCTATCTATCTATCTATCTAGTTTTTCTACCTCATTCATTCATATTATATCTATCTATCTATCTATCTATCTATCTATCTATATTCGTGTCATTATATTCTATCTATCACTATCTATCTAGATTCGTGTCATTATCATCTATCTATCTATCTAGATATCTATCTATCTATCTATCTATCTATCTATCTAGATATCTATCTATCTTATTATTATCTATCTATCTATCTATCTATCTATCTATTTATCTATATTATCTATCTATCTCTATCTATCTATCTAGATCGTGTTTCTATTATCTATCTATCTATCTATCTAACTTTGTCTTTCCCACAGACGCAGACCTAACGCCACTCTATCTCTGTTTCCATGGAAAATATCCCGACGTTCCATGTACGTTAGGGCGAACATTTCTCGCCCTCTTCATATTCCACTGGCAATTTTGTTAAGGGTCACTAATTTGTGGGACAGACTTCCAAGAGGATGCTTCCCTGATCACTACAATGTTACACTATTTAAGTTTAGAGTTAATCCTCATCAATCCTACATATCGTTATAATCTTCAATTCTTAAGCCCATAAAACAATCCTCTACCTTTAGTCGTTCTACTGGGTGGGAAAAAAAGCGTAAAATAGACAAGGTGGGTAATACCTTTTTGGCTACTAATGCATAGGCGCAGGATATCGTTATCGATAAGTAGATGACCCCTGATAACGATATCATTTATGATATTATCTAATTTTATTGCATAATCTATATATATATATATATATATATATATATATATATATATATATATATATATATATATATATATATATCTGGAGTAAATCTTCCAATAAAAAAGGATGGGAAGGCATTTTTATTTATATATGTACGCATATTAAATATATCATATACACATCAAATTATAACGCCAAGGACGAAGTATCCACTACAATGACTTTTGAATATATATATATATATATATATATATATATATATATATATATATATATATATATATATAAACATATATACAGAATGAATTCCAATAACCAACAATTACTATTCTTAAAAAGAGTGCTCAATACAAAGTCAGAGCAGATATAATTATTTTTTATAAAAAAATTACAACATAAGTATGTTATAAAATCACTACAAAAATAGCCATTTTGTTTCAACACACTCTGTGTCTTATCAAGTGATGATGTTGAAAATAAAAAAATCTATATATACACAAAAATATATATATATATATACACAAACCCTTTTGAAAATTAATTAAAACAAAACGAATAATTCCGTAATTATTTACTTTTTTCGTATTTTTTTTTTATGAAACATGACCCTGTTCACATGTTAGTACTTCGTATGTCCATTCCACGAGTTCATTCCTTGCAGATTGACCACAGGTTCTCGATTGGATATATATCAGGAGAGTTTCCAGGCCAGTCTATAGTACTTTGATTTGCTCACTGGTAAGCCTTTCCAGTCTGTTCGTACTGCGTTACAATTTTTGTACGCTTCCTTGAAGTAACGTCCATTTTTCTTTACAATGGCCGTAGGACAATTAATCGACAGTCGAATCAATAGTGTCTGGGCGTGATAAAAATCTGCTGCAATCACCGATGACGCAATATTTTTCAAGATCAAGCAGATTTCATCATACACCCCGAAAATACATTCATATTACGGTACACCACTGCAAATGACCTCATCTGATTAAAAAATAGAAATCGATTATGCTATTTCACTCCAGTTGGTCGAAAACTGACTGAATGGTGAAAGAAAGGAAACTAAAGCTGTTGTTTTAATTTGAACAACTGTGTAAGTGGTCACAGCTGAAGAAGTGTTTGTGTGTCTGTATATATATATATATATATATATATATATATATATATATATATATATATATATACCTATGTATATATATAACAGCATAATTGCCCATTCCACAAAATGTTTAATATCTAAAATAACAATGAACTAATTGAGATTTTTCCAGATTTTAATATAAGTAGTTTAGTCATCTTGACACCATTTGTCGTAAGAATCACTGGAAAAACATTGAAAAAATCACTGAAAAAGCCTTATTCAGATAGAAAGAGAACAGGTTAAAAGCGTTTTCTGTTAATTCCACTATCTTTCCAACTGAGGAATGGTGTGAGGAAAAAGATCATTCAGACCTTCAGTAATGGTACCAATATTCATACTCTAGTTTGCATCCTCAAAGTCCATTCAAGAACGATCAAAAGAACGGTGAATAAGTTTAAAATAGAGAGAACAGTAAAGAGGAAAACTGGATGAGGGGGTCACAACATAAGAGGAATCATTGTTACTCCAGGACAGAAAGTTCGAGGGTTAGAGAGGGCGAAGATCATCTTGAATAAGTTGGGAAATGATCCTGGAATAATTTATATATATATTTGAACTTTATTTCAACACTTCATGAACTTCCGATACTTAACTATGATTAATTAATGATGAACATGTCATTTTCGCTCATGATCAATTTCATCACGATTCCTCTGTTAAGCTTGGAGAGTAATTATACATTCTTACTGCTCAAAGTAGAGTCTAATAGTGCTATAAAAACCTTAGAGAATTCATTTCTAAGACACAACGTTTCAAAGGTTAATGTAACAATTGAAAGACACCTGGTGTATAATTACAATGATATGTCGGCGTATGTCAATGAGTGAACATGCGTGTATGTATGTTTGCGTAAGTAGGAATGACGTTCCGACGACAATTTTTCCTCCCACTACCATAAAAACACCGATATGCGCAACCATATATAAATCTAAAATTTAAAAATTTATCAGTTTGTCAGACGATCATAAACAGCGTGAAACCCAGGCTCACAAACTTACATCAATCCAACTATATATATATATATATATATATATCACAACAAAATCCAGAATTACCTCATATGCGGGTGGGTATAGATCTGTTTCTACCAACGAGAAGTACGTCAGTCTTATTCAACCCCGGTGTATAGACTGTGATCAGACATATCGAAATTGCTAAAAGTCGGACCGAGGAGTGAACCCATATCCGTACCATCGCGTTGTATGTATATATATTATTTTTGTGATCATAGAATGGGACTTCGGTAATGCAAGTTAGCAGTAGTTTCCGTAATATACTAGGCCTAATTTTTTTTTTGAGGTAGAACAATTAATTATTTATATATATATATATATATATATATATATATATATATATATATGTGTGTGTGTGTGTGTGTGTTGTTTTCAAGTGACGCGTTTCGTCGTTTAGGTCTTCATCGGACTAAAATTGTTATCTTGGCGAGTCGATGTCATTTAGATTAATTTTTTTTTTTCCAATCACTTTTTTTAGTAGATATCCCAGGATATATATATATATATATATATATATATATATATATATATATATATATATAGATAGATAGATATAAATAGCCAGGAAAATGGCGAAATATTGTAAAAGTGAAAAAAAATTGAAATTTACTCAAAAGTAGTCTCACGAACATCAACAAATTTCCTAAATGACATTAATCAACGTTCACAAGAAAAAACTTTTTCCACTTTGTCATAAAATTTCCTTTATATATATATATATATATATATATATATATATATATATATATATATATATATATATTTCCATATGTGTGTATTAAAATGAATCATTCATACAAAAACATATTCGTTCAAGTTTTTGTATTTGTTATCAATAACACACTTCAAAAAACCATATTTCGATTTGCCTTATATTTTTTTCGTCTCGGATACTACCAGACATGAATTTTTCCCAAAAAATAAAATAGTTTCCATGCCTGATGATGAAACGGAGAACCTGTCAGATTGTATTTGCATATTTAAGGGAGACCTAATATTATTTTATAATTTTTTGTAACAAGGATCATAACATTTATCGAGTGATTCGTGGGTTAATTTATTTTAAAATTTATTTAAATAAATTTTCCATTTTATCGAATTAACTTTACTAATTTACTTTTTCTATTAATGATTCATTATAATATATATTATATATATATATATATATATATATATATATATATATTTATATCTATATATATATCCGTATATATATATATATATATATATATATATATATATATTTTTTTTTTTTCAATAAAAGACAGACCACGTTAAGATTCCATGTAATAAGCTATTTCACCATAACCCCTTTAACAGGGTTCTGGATCATCAGACTTTAGTTCCAAAAGCTGAAATGAAAAATGAAAAAGAAATTCACACGTTTTTTACGGACCTCATCAAGTATACGCAAAAGTTAACGAAGTGAGGAAGTGAGGTGGGAGAGAGGATATGAGTGTATCATATGTATCATTTTAGTTTCCTATTTTAACCCCAGTGTGTCGGCTGGATGTTGCTCAAATTTAACGCGTCTCGTCTCTAGATAAAGGTGGTTAAAATTTGAGCGATAAGGACTACATTAAAGGAAGACGTTACAATAATAAAAATAAATTACATTACAGGTTTCATTCAAATTCTTAGACAGCTTGTATAAATGACTTCTCTATAACTATATCTCTCTATATCTCTATATATATATATATATATATATATATATATATATATATAATATAAATGAAAACATCTTAGTTAGTTTTCGTTTCGTCCTTTGAAAGACTTTTTTAATTCCTCCAAAATCAAATCACAAAACCCAATTTTTTATTTTTATTAATCAATTTAAGAAATTTATATAATATTTATCAAGTTATCAAATAATCAATATATATATATATATATATATATATATATATATATATATAATATAATAACGTTTAACTCAGTTACTCTATTCTCTAAGGAAAATAACCAGGCAGTGACGAGACATAGTGCAGGGAGAAGTAAATTCATGCCTTTTCCTAAAGGGCATTATTATAAATTGATTATAAGCAGCTTTAACCGAGATTCGAACTCAGGTGTACGTTTTGATTTTGCCTGGCACCTTCAATTTTTTTTTTATTTTAACATTTTCTGCCGTAGTGCAACCTGGTAAGGTTATGGGCACGAAAGGAAGAATCTGCAACCCGAGTTCAAATTCCGGCCCATCGGGAAAGGCATGAATCCACTTCTTCTGCCTTCTACATATTTTTATAGGTTTCTCTTTTATATAATTATAACCAGTGAAGGAGATGGACTACTCTGGAAACAGCAATGGAAAGCTCATTCCACTATCTTCTACTAATATTCCTGGCAACTCACAGGGACTCCGTGTGTGGGGCCTTGTGCCAAACTAAATGAAATCTAAGAAATATCTATAAACCTCTGAAACTGATGTTAGGTTCATTCCTTCTTAGGTGCTCTATAAACTAGCCTTGTGCCAAATTTGAATATAGTTTGCTGGATAGTATTGCTGTTAGTGAGTTTAACCGTTACTGCGCACTCCGTTTTTGAAACCTTGTGTCAGAACTATGCATGAAAATCAGCATCCAAAAATCTTGATTTTGTCTGTGATCGAACACTGAGTACTGGCGCCAGTAAAAAAATACTCAACTCTCTCAACCACCAAATTTATTTGAATGTAGCATAATGCATCAAGTATGGCGCTTCTACTGAGATTTGAGTTTACAAAATATTTTGGTCGAGAAAAAAATCCCTCCTTTAGACAAAATTCCCGCATTTAAAAAGAGGAAGAACCCTCCACCTCCACCGTTGGGTTAAATTAAAACGCGACGTGTACTTTTCTACATGTCAGTATCATAAAGGAATATATATATATATATATATATATATATATATATATATATATATATATGATAGGAAGACAAACAAGTAGGAAACAGATCTTAATCTAACATGTTTCACTTTAATAAAGCTTCGTCAGAGATCAAGATAGAAATGATAAAAAATGATTAAAAGCAAAGAGACGCAGATTAATTGTATGTCGTTTTAGGCTATTACATTGCTTAGATACGTGTCACGTGTATTGAAGTAACAGATAATATTTAAATATATGTGGCAAACATTCTTGACGCTAAAGTGTAAAAGTTACTATGATGCAGTAGGATGTTTTGATTGGATACATGTCACGCGTAAGGAAATAACAGATAATATTCAAATAAGTGTAAGAAAAAATTCTGGATGTTAAATTATGTAAAGATAAGAGGGACGCTGCAGGATATTTTGAACAATTTTTCGTTAGAGTATATTTTTTTTAATATATTGATTTTAATGTATTCGGAAGAGATAAGCTAGGTTCATGAATAATGGATCTGTAGAAAAATGGTGATGTAGTTTTATAAACGTGTGTTAATACTTGGTAATGTTGTTATAAATATATTTTCATAATATTTTCTCTTTAAAGAGTTTTGTTCTTTTTTTGATAAGGATGGCGTTGGTGAAATTAAATTTATGTCCTACGTTGTTACGGTGTAATACGAGAGAATTTGCATGCTTGTCTAAACGTAAATCCCTTTTGTGTTCCTGAATGCGGGTCTTTAAATCACGTGAAGTCTCCCCGATGTAGAAGTTATTGCACTGTAGACATTTGATTTGATAAACTCCCAAATTGATATTTATTTCATTTTTCATCCTGATTATATCTCCAATAGTTTTGGAGGTGGTTGTAACAATCTTCCTATTTCGGATGACGAATTCATTTGCGAGTTTAGTTGAAGTGTTGGAGGGTAGGATTATGAATTTTGTATAATTTTTGTTGGAAGTATTTGTTTGTTTGGTCTTATGGATTTTGTGAGCTCGTTTTGCATTTAAGATGAATTGGTGCGGATAGTGTAGAAGTTTGAATGTGTTCTCAATATAATCCTCTTCTTTACTAATGTATTCAGAGCTACATATCCTAAGGGCTCTAAGGTAAAATCCTATAATTATTCCAGATTTTATTCTATGGTTGTGATGGGAATAGAAATTGATAAGGTCATTTTTGTTAGTGGGTTTAAGGTAAACCTTAAATTCTAATTTATTACAGTTACATATCGAGGAAAGGAGAGTAATTTGTTTCAAATTCGTGTGTAAATTCGATGGTTGGTTCAACTTTATTGAGTTTATCTTTTAGGTTTAAAAGTTTAGTATCTTGGAGATAAAATAAGACGACGTCATCAATATATCTTAGGTAAGTAGAGCTGTTAGGTATACTATGCTTAAATGTGGTGGATTTCTAAGAATTCAAAGAAGGGGCAAGTGATAATAATAATAGATATTAATGTCTGGAATAAAACGAACATAGGATGTACTGAAGGTACTTTCAAACGAAGATGGTACAATCATAGGTCGTCATTCAAGCTAGTAAGTTCTAGGAGCTCTACCAAACTAGCTAATCTTATCTTACTTATTATAAAACGCAGATTGTGTGTGTGTGTGTGTGTGTGTGTGTGTGTGTGTGTGTGTGTGTGTGTGTCTGTAACGTTTATATATTGGATCAGATTTCCTACATTTTTCAACCGATTTCAACAAAACTTCACAGGACTACATAAAATTACCTTGTGGTGGTTCTAACAGCGCCAAAAATGGAAAAATATAATTGTTTTTGCACAAAATCAATTTGAAAACACGATTAAGAGACATCGTGAAAATGGAAGGGGGACAACTCACATCGGGTTGTTTGTGTGTGTGGGTTCCTTTAAATATGGGAGCGGATTTCCTATATTTTTCAGCCGATAAAACAAAACTTCACTTTTTTTTTTTTTTTTTTTTTTTGTAGTGTTTCTTATTCTCTTGCACACTTTTTTCTTTATTTTTAACATTCAGAATGCTTTAAAAATTCCATTTACAAGACAATTATTTATAATAAAATTCTATTCAATTGGGAGACTCATAACGATTGAAAACAATGTTTTTGTTTGAGTTTGGGTTTGACCAATTCCTAAAAAAAAAAAAAAAAAAAAATTAAGACATGTGTGTCCGTCAACCTTAAACAATAATCTAGCGATCTCTACTGATTGTACGAATACAAACATCGGATAAATTCTTTATCTTTATGGAAAGATAATGAAATCTAAACATACACAAGTCCTAACTAAAAATAATAACCGGAACGGGAAACTACTTTAAATACACATGGTGTCCAATTTTTTTACTGTATTCAATAAGTAAAAATCATAAATTGTAAAAGATTATTATTACAGAAAGGCTACTAAATGAATAAGATTTGTTAGATCATAATTAATAAACCCAAATAAAGTTAATATTTTTTGTATTAGAAACAACGAGTGGAAAATATATTCAAATCAGAATTCTAATTATGAATCACCACAAGCAAAATATGCAATTTTTTTTACTGTATTCAATAAGTAAAAATCATAAATTGTAAAACTAAAAGATTACAGAAAGGCTACCTACATTTTTCAACCGATTTCAACAAAACTTCACTTTTTTTTTTTTTTGGCATGTAGTGTTTCTTATTGTCTTGCACACTTTTTTCTTTATTTTTACATTCAGAATGCTTTAAAAATTCCATTTACAAGACAATTGTTTATAATAAAATTCTATTCAATCGGTAGAGACTCATAACGATTGAAAACAATGTTTTTGTTTGAGTTTGGGTTTGACCAATTCGTAAAAAAAAAAAAAAAACTAATTAAGACATGCGTGTCCGTCAACCTTAAACAATAATCTTTGTCAATTTTATTTTTCAGTCTTTATGATGGTGGATACTTGATCTATCTCTTACTGTTATATCCCCGGGCAACGTCGGGCTCTACTGCTAGTAATGTATGAAAATTAAAAGAAAAAACAGCAGGGATCCGATTGTAAACTGGAAAATTTAAAAAAAGGCGAATAATAAAATCAACAATCATAATAGCATTTTGTATTGGTCAGGAAAAACTTACCAATATTGACATTTCCGGATCCAAAGGACCTTTTGAACAATAGATCCGAAATCGTGAGCCACTGTGTACATACAAAAAATTCCTGTTAAGCTCATATGATATTTCATAAAAAAGTATGTACATTTCAATGACCACTCCACTGATACACTTGCTTTTCTTATCCACACGCTTTTTCTTCTTTTTCTCCTTCCTTTTTTGTATCCACCTCCTCCTCCCTTTCTATCACACACAACGTCGTGCGTTTATTTATTTTTTTAAAAAATAATATAGCGTTCATTATTTTTTTAAATGAAGCGTTGGGTGGTCAATTGTAAAAATTGCATGACGATACCATAAGATTGAAACAAGGGTTGCGGAATCAACTGATTTTTAAAGTTAAAAATGTACATGATATTTGTATTTTATTTTTTCACACGTGTATTAAGCACTTTTTAATACTACTGTTTCTTGGTCTAATTCAACTCTGACTATTAGCCTTTTATATATATATATATATATATATATATATATATATATATATATATATATATATATATATATATATATATTCATCTTTAACACAGCTCATCAGTGAAATATGGTAAAGTAATTCTTGAAGGTGAATTTAGACGTATTTATTTTAGATAAACACGTCAGTCTTAACGAAATCTTAATGAAGAGTGTTGCATCAGCAGCAGTAAATAAATTCCCTTTTCTCCTCGAATATAATGTGTATAACAGGCTGTTTCGCTGTTTCATAGCTCATCAGTGTAGCTAGGCATTCGATTGCCTCAAGCCGGGATCGAAACCCGGCTGATATGGTATCAGTCGGAGACTCTATATCTAAGCCATTGGATGAAGGTGAGTTTAGACATATTTATTTTTAGATATTCAAACATTGAATAATGTAGACATATTAGCTGTCTTTGTTTTCATAATAATCCTTTCAAGTTCTCTAATCAATTTATTGATATTAAGATGAAATTCATAGAGAATGCCGCCATAGTTTTTTCATACTCAAGTACTTTCGATTTCCTCCCAGATCGCCATCAGGAGTGTATTACAAAGACAAACTTATTGTAACTCTGATCGTTGTCATGGAGATTTTTAAAACTTTCTGCTTAGCTAGATTGTTTGGCAAAAAAATTACGTAAGTGCAATGAATAAATTAAAAAAAAAATTAAATAATTTTAACACATCGCGTTCACGCGTGTTCTTTTTTTTTTTTTTTCTTAAATCATCATCACTACAATTACAGTGAAAAGAGCATAAAAAGAAAAGGAAAATCGCGAAGTATAAGCACTGATGAGTGATTCCCAGAGTGTCCGTCTACGAAACTCTGGAGTCAGGATGCTGAAGGTAATATCAATCAGCTAAGTGAATAACATTGTACTTGTATTAATACTATATATATAAATATGTATTGATACTATATATAAATTAATACTATATATAAATTATATATATATATATATATATATATATATATATATATATATATATAAAGAGAGAGAAAAGAGAGAGAGAAATTTATATATAGTAT